AACAATTGGCATCAAGAGCCTGTCACTAAATATATCTAGTGAGATTTTGGGAACTGATTACTCTTATTTTGTTGCAGATATGAATACTCAACGAGAAGGATCTTCAACTACTCGTCCACCTCTTCTAATCGGCTCCAACTACTCATACTGGAAATCAAAAATGAAGATGTTTATCAAATCCATAGATGAGAGAGCATGGCGCGCCATCATAACTGGTTGGACACCTCCCATGATCAAAGGAGAAGACAAAGAGGAAGTATTCAAACCAGAAGCAGATTGGAGTGATGGAGAAATACTACTCGCAAACTACAACTCGAGGGCCCTAAACGCAATATTTAGTGGTGTTGATGATAATCAATTTAAACTAATAGCGTCATGTGAATCTGCAAAGAGAGCTTGGGAAATTCTTCAAGTCACATACGAAGGAACGTCAACTGTAAGGACATCCAAGTTACAGATGTTGGCCACCAAATTCGAAAATTTGAAGATGGAGGAGAATGAGACGATCACTGACTTCCATGCTAAATTATGTGATATCTCCAATGAATCATACGCACTCGGTGAACCATACTCAGAAAGCAAATTAGTGAGAAAAGCGATGCGCTCATTACCTGAAAGATTTGCTTACCGAATTGCTGCCATTGAAGAAGTCGGAGACGTTGACACGCTCAAACTAGACGAACTCATGCGGAAACTTCTAGCACAAGAACTCAATCATGGTGAAAATCATCGTGAAAAGTCTAGAGAAAAGAAGATAGCCTTTCAAGCAGAAACATCATATGCAACGCCCCAAAATTCGTCAACTCAAGAAGATGAGCAAACAGTTGAAGAATCCTTGGCACTACTATCGAAAAATTTTGGGAAATTTCTCAAAAAGATCGGAAAAAGGGGAAATCTTCCAAGCACAGGGAAACCCGTGAACTTTCAAAATTCTAGGAGAAATTCAAATCAAGATAACTCAGAGGAGTCAAAACCAAGAAGAATACAATGCCGAGAATGCGAAGGCTTTGGTCACATTCAATCAGAATGCGCAAACACCCTGAAGAAAAAGAAGAAAATGTCACTTACTACTGTTTGGTGCGATGAAGAAGAATCTGATGATGACCAAGGAAACAACGATCAAGTCACTAACTTTGTAGCATTCAGCAGCAAAGTTCCTCTGGACAGCTCAGAATCAACTGTTGCTTCAACTGTTGCAACAGACTGTGAAACAGAATCCAGGTATGAAAATATATGTTCTGATTATGACAAAAATCTAAACGAAAATTCTTCTTTTGCAGAGGATCCGAACAGCAGCAGTGATGAGGAAGAACCAACCTTGGATGAAGTAAAAGAGGTATATGAAAAAATGTACCAAAAATGGCTCGACGTCGTTAAGGTAAATAACTTCCTGGAAAAGGAGAAGTTTATGCTTGTAGAGGAAAACAAGACACTAAAGGTAAGAATCTCTACTCTTGAGGAAAGGGTCATATCTAGTGATCAAGAGAAAAATAGTTTGCAGGCTAAACTTACTCAAACTCAAGAAGCAATTGCAAAATTGAACTTGGGTAGAGGTAATCTAGATGAAATCTTAAGCAACAACAAGCCAAACTATAATCGTCTAGGCATAGGAGGGAGTCAGCTACCCAAAGTTGATCTAAAGCGAAAGGAAGATCAAAACAGAAAAATCAACTTTGTTAAACAAGCTTCTGTCTCACCAACAGTTGCAACTGTTGAAGCAACGAAACACAATTCAAAGAAAAGGTTTATTCCCACTTGTTTTTTCTGTCAAAATCCAGGTCACATACGTCCTAGATGTTTCAACTACTTAAAACTTGTGAAAAAGCTTGTGGCTCGTTCTCTTTACTCTGCTAGGGCTGATTATTTTCCTTCACCCTCTCAAAAACCCAAAAATAAAATTGATATTTCCAATAGACCTCAGCAAAAAATTTGGGTTGAAAAATCTACGTTTAAATGCTTATCTGCGATTACTTCTTTAAAAGCAAGTACTACTAATGATTGGTATTTTGACAGTGGATGTTCACGACATATGACCGGTGTTAAAGAGTTTCTGAAAAACTATCAACAAATCACCGGTGGAGCTGTTACCTTTGGAAACGGAAAAAAGGGTGAAGTGCTAGGGAAAGGATCGCTAAATCATGAGAATCTGCCAAAGCTGAAGAATGTACTACTTGTAGAAGGACTCACGTCAAATCTGATGAGCATCAGCCAGCTATGTGATCAAGATCTTGAAGTCAGATTCAACAAATTCGCATGTCGAGTATTAGACAAAGACGAGAATTGTGTTATTCAAGGAACTCGATCATCTGACAACTGCTATATTCTTGTCTCTGCTGGTATGAACTGTTTCAACAGTCTGTCAGACTCTACAGTGCTTTGGCACAAAAGGTTAGGAAATCTGAACTTTGATAATCTCGTAAAAATTTCCAGCAGTGAGTATGTTAGAGGGCTGCCCAAACTCACTAAAGAAATAGGAAAAATCTGTGGTGATTGCAAAATGGGTAAACAAATCAAAAGTTCACACAGAGCTTTAGCTAATGTGAGAACCAGTGGAAACCTAGAACTTCTACACATGGACCTTATGGGACCAATGCAAGTAGAGAGTATAGGTGGAAAACGGTACATATTTGTGTGTGTAGATGATTTTTCTAGATTTACTTGGGTAGAATTTATTAGGGAAAAATCCGATTCTTTTGATGTGTTTAAAAAATTGTGCAAAAAGGTGAGTGTTGAGAAACAGCAGAACATCGTGAGAATTAGGAGCGATCATGGGAGAGAATTTGAAAATTCCTTATTTACTAACTTTTGTGAAAAATATGGAATATCTCATGAATTCTCCGCACCTAAAACACCTCAACAAAATGGAGTGGTTGAACGCAAAAATCGCACTCTGCAAGAGATGGCCAGGGTCATGATGAACGCAAAGGAGATCGCTCCTCGTTTTTGGGCAGAAGCAGTTAACACTGCGTGTCATATTATAAATCGAGTCTATCTTCGACCAGGTACCACTAAAACTCCGTACGAAATTTGGAAAGGTAAAAAACCACAACTCAACTATCTTCGTACTTTTGGTTGTACTTGTTATATTTTGAATGACAGAGAACAGCTTGGGAAATTCGATGCTAGAAGTGATCAAGGAATATTCTTAGGCTACTCTCGAAATAGCCATGCGTATAGAATATTTAATCTTAGAACAAAATCTGTGATGGAATCCGCATATGTTCAATTTGATGATTTTAGCAATGATGCAGGACCACTGGAAGAGGAACCAACAAAGGAATCGGAAAACAGCTCCAGTGTCGCACCAACAGTTCCAACAGTTGATGCAGCCTCTACCATTTCAGAAGAAAGTGAAGTCAATTCTGAAACAGGAGACGAAGCTGAAGTCAGGCCTCTCGAATTGGATGATCAAACTCACAAGGAACCCTCAAGAAGAGTCAAGAAGAATCATCCAGTGGATCAAGTCATTGGTTCGGTAGAAGAAGGAATTCAAACCCGAGGTAAACCCAAGGTGAATTACAAGGAAATGGCAAGGTATGTTTGTTTCACTTCTACTATAGAACCCAAAAACGTCAAAGAAGCCTTATTAGATGAATATTGGAATCAAGCCATGCATGAGGAACTGGAACAATTCGTTAGGAATGACGTTTGGGTCTTGGTCCCTAGGCCTGACAATGTCAATATAATAGGTACAAAATGGGTTTTTAAAAATAAGTCTGATGAACACGGAAATATCGTTCGTAACAAAGCTAGACTAGTTGCTCAAGGCTATAGTCAAATCGAAGGCATTGACTTCGATGAAACTTTTGCACCTGTTGCTAGACTAGAATCTGTTCGATTACTCCTAGCCATTGCTTGTTTTCTAAAAATCAAACTTTTTCAAATGGATGTCAAAAGCGCCTTCTTAAATGGTATTTTAAAAGAAGAAGTTTATGTTGAACAACCCAAAGGATTTCAAGATCCCCATTATCCCAAACATGTTTTCAAATTAAACAAAGCCCTGTATGGTCTCAAACAAGCGCCTCGAGCTTGGTATGAGCGTCTTACAGAATTTTTATCGCACAAGGGATACACTAGGGGTAGCGTCGATCGAACTCTTTTCTTTAAAAAATCAAAGGGAGACATCCTGATTGCTCAAATTTACGTAGACGATATCGTTTTTGGATCTACCTCGCAAACAAAAATCGAAGAATTTGTTAAACAAATGTCTAGTGAATTTGAAATGAGCATGGTCGGGGAACTCACGTATTTTTTAGGTCTTCAAGTTAAACAAATGAGTGATGGAATTTTCATAACTCAATCCAAGTATGCAAAAAACCTTGTCAAACGTTTTGGTTTGGAATCTGCAAAAACTGTTAGAACTCCTATGGGAACGAACGACAAACTGTCACGACAGTTGGATGCAACAGCTGTAGATCCCACACTTTATCGAAGCATGATAGGTAGTCTTTTGTATCTTACTTCTAGCCGACCAGATATATGCTATAGTGTTGGAGTTTGTGCCAGGTATCAATCCAATCCCAAGGAATGCCACCTTAGTGCGGTAAAACGAATCATTCGCTACGTAAGTGGAACAACTGATTTCGGTATTTGGTATTCCATGGATACTAACACAACACTCGCAGGTTTTAGCGATGCTGATTGGGCAGGTGATGCAGACGATCGAAGAAGCACGACAGGAGGATGTTTCTATCTTGGGAATAATCTCGTCTCTTGGTACAGCAAAAAGCAGAATAGCATCTCACTTTCCACTGCCGAATCCGAATATATCGCTGCAGGTAGTTGTTGTGCTCAACTCTTATGGATGAAACAAATGGTATGTGATTATGGTATTAGTCAAGATTTATTGCATATTTATTGTGACAATATGAGTGCAATTAATATTTCCAAGAATCCAGTACAGCACTCTCGAACTAAGCATATTGAAATCCGGTACCACTTCATTAGAAATCTGGTAGAGGAAGGAACTGTCTCATTAGAGTATGTCACAACAGAAAAACAACTTGCTGACATCTTTACTAAACCCCTTGATGCACATAGGTTCGATTCCTTGCGAAATTCGCTTGGAATCTGTATTGTTTGACCTGTGCAGTTGCATAAACTGTTGCAACAGTCTGTGTCCAGACTTGCAACTTTTAGGTTTTTATGGACACATCACACATACTGCATTTTATTCATCTAAGTTTTGCATTAGTCATGCTGCATGTGATGAAAACTCTTGTGTATTGGATACTATGTGTACTTTCGAACTTTTTGAGGTAAAACTTCATCAATCCCCGAATGATAGCTATAGAGACTTTAGTTTATTTACTACTCCTCACAATCTCGTCATGGTTTAACACTTTCATAAGGAAAAGCTGCCTCTCCAAATGAGTGAAAGCTAATCTTGAATTTTTGTTTAACTATATATATAATAAATTGGTCTGTGAATAATTCGAATCCTTTTTGAGTTGAGTCAGTAAATCACGTGGCCGAAAGCTCCTACAAGGCTCAAATAGAAAGCCTAGGGGACTACACATTGCACGACCATTGTAAATCCGTTATATGGTCAGTGAATAGTTCGAAGCCTTTTTTAGTCGAGCCGGTAAACCTCATGACCGAACACTCACTACACGACTCAATTAGAAAGCCCAGGGGATTACACATTGCACGACCACACCTATCTCACTAATTAAATTGCTCTGCTCTTCATGAAAAAGCTACCATTAGTAGGGTGTGTATGCTACCTAATAAGAGCGTTTTTGTGCTTGATTTGAGGGTAATAAATTTATTGTTAGTCTCGTTAGTTTGTATTTTGGAGCTTGCTTTTTGTTAAAATTGAAGATAAACCCCATGGGTTTGATAGTCCTAATAGTATCCTATTCACTCGTGTTTACTCACTCATATTCCTTTTTGTTCTCTCACGTTTATTTTTTTTCGTCCTAGTAATTTAATTCTGCATATTAGGCATATATATATATATATATATAAAAAAAAAAAAAAAAAAAAAAAAAAAAAAAAACGGGGTGGGTTCGTATATGTTTTGGCGGCAATCATTTTTTTGAAGTCACCCACTTTTCTGGGCATTTTTTTTCTTCTCGAAGTTTTCTTGAACTGTGTTGGGGTTCATATGTGAAGGTTGAGAGTTGCTGTACCTGAATTTAATTTTCATAAAATTGCTCTCATTGTTGGCAGAATAATATTTGCAATTTCTTCACTATAATCTTCCTAAATTGCTAAAATACCCATGAGAAGACCAACAGTTACCCATGTTTCTGCCCCTTTTCGTTTTCTCCTTCAATTTGGTTTTCTTCTCTACTGCTCTCTTTTCTTTCTTCCTCCTTTGCAGCAAATCACAAATCTGCACTCAAATCAAAGGAATCCAAGAGCACAGTTATGGGGAAACGAAAAAGCACCGGTGGATCGTCTTCTTCGTCCAAAAGCACCCTAGGGTTTCACCACCGCCGTCGCCGCCAGTGACGCCGCCGCCACCCTTCACACTCTCCGGCTGCTCAATCGTCACTACCACCGTGAGCACCGCCATCGCCTTTCTCGTCGGTCAACCAGGGCCACCGCCCTGCACCACAGCCACCTCGCCGCTCTCGTCGACGCATTACTCACTCTGTCTCGCCTTCCGCTACTCGCACCACCGCAGGTCACTCTGCACCGGATCCCGTGGTGCCTATCTCTGCTGTCGATGCTTTTAATTCTCGGTTCTTTCTCCGAGCGCATCAAACCCGGTGGCGTCTGTCAAGTGTTTCATGATTTTTATGCCAACCTACCTAGTGGGGTCTCTGATTGTCGAAGTCGTTTTTACGAAGAAGAAACTCGACTATTTTACTGCCCTTGCTCAGAAAGGGGGAGATTATTCTTGAGGGGGAGTTGACAACGAAGCATCAACCCAGGAGGAACCGCATACAGGGGGAGCTGATGCAGCTGCTGGAACTACTACTGATCCAACTGTTGTTGCTCCAACTGTTCCAACAGTTGATGGTACAACAGCTGAAGTTGATACGAATGATGACGAGGAGTTGTTCGTTGATGCTGAATATATTCTGGATTAGTTTTTTTGTGGTTGTCGAATTCATTTTCTGAACAACGGCCTCTAATAGTCTGCTAGGCTTAACTTTTTCTTGTTTTGTTAACTGTTGTTTTCTTTAACTGTTCTAACAGTTACTCTATTATGCAGTCTAATGTTTTGTCAGGTATTTGATCAAGGGGGAGGACTTGATTATAATAAATAGATGACAAAGGGGGAGATTGTTAGAATCCGAGAGGATTCTATTTACGTTTTTCAACACGTGTGCGAAAAACGTGTATAAAAACTAGGGAAGTTTCCTTAGTTCTTTAAACTCTTATTTTGTCATTAATTTATTTAATTGCCTAAGTGTCACTACCAAAAAAAAGGGCTTTTGTGACGGACGATTCAGTCACGAAATTGATGAAAATCTGTCACAAAAGCCCTTTTGTCACAAATATATGACCGAATTGTTTTGTCAGAAAAACCCTCGTCACAAAATAAATTTGTGACTGATTTTTCTTGTCCGTCACAATGTTTATGACAGATATGTCCGTCGCAATTGAAAAAATTCCGTCACAAATATGTAATCTACGGTCTCCAAGTATTGTGACGGATTTCGTCACAAACCTTTTTATTGGTCATTAATGTGTCACAAATCACTGAGAATTTCCATCACTCATCCGTGATAGACGCCGTCATAAACCACGTCCGTCACAAATAATCCATCCGGAAAATCGGTCACAAATAATTCATTCAGAACCTCCGTCACAAAATTCCATCACAAATATCCCGTCACAAATCCGTTACAAATATTTAATTATCTTTCAGTCACAATTCCATCGTCGATGCAGGAGGTTTCGCTATTCAAAGCTGTTTTAGTTTTTTTTTTATTTTTTTTATACCTGTTATCTGAATATTTCAAAATTTCATTCGACTTCAAAATTAATGATAATAAACACAAAATCTACTACAAAACTAACAAAAAACAGAAGATTCCAAATAAATTCTCACTGAAAATGCTTAGAACACCAAATTCATATACGATTCCACAATAGTCAAAACATATAATACATAGACCGAAAGAAAAAATGAATAAGTTTTGCATTAAAATTGAAAAAAGCCACCAAATTTTTCAATTCGATACAAGTTAAAAAAGCTATTTCTTCTGTAACTACGTTCGAGATCAATATCATTCACATTTACGTGCTTTGATGCAGAAAGCTGGTTTCGATCAGACCGCTGTTGCATTGAGGCCTCAAATTTGAACTCGAACAAAATTTACGCGAGACCCTGCGAGCAAAGAAATTTATTTAACAATCAGTAAATTCCAATGTGCAATGTGCATGTTTCATGAATATGGAAAAATAATTCATAATTATTCCTTTATACTTACTGATGTGTAATCTATCATAAAAAAATACTCCTGTCTTCCCTGATTATGCATGGGTCATGTAGAGTTTGTGATGAGTTCTTGGTGCTATTGGCATTTGGCAAACAAGAAATGCATCTTGCATCAATGTTTTTCCGTTCAGCTGTGTATATACTACCATATAGCATAAACTTATCTCCACAGGAAACATAAGGTAGACCACATAGAAGTGGGTAAATGCTATTTATGATTAACCCCCAAAATAGTAAGCACTAGGTAAGGAACGGGCAAAATTCAAAAATCCGACCACTAAGATCTTCCAGAAGAAGAAAATTCTAGCTCTTCTCTAACAAAAAAATCCGAAAAAAGACAAACTTTGATGCAAAATCATATTTGTCTTAACACTAGAAGCAAACCTGCAATCTTAATAATTGATTCTCAGTCTACCGCCATCGATGGTTTTTTGAATTTGATGTTTGAAACAGAGTTGGAGTATAGAAAAAAAATCGTTAAGTCCAGAAACCCTAACCTTTTCACCGGACGTTTTTTGGATGTATTCTGGTGCTTGTTGCACAGTGTCCACGGCATTAATTCATGGTAGTGGGGGCGTGGGAGTCAAATGTAAAAAACCCGGTTTGACCGGCTGAAACGGTGAACCCGGAAACTTGTCAATGAGCCCGTTTTCCATACAAAACGTTGAGTCGGAGGCATTTGGTGGCGGGATTTGGCCGGAGTTCGTAGGGGGTGGCCGGATCTGAATGGAGTAGGCCGTGGGTTGCCGGAATTTGACGGATCTGGCCGTGGATTGCCGGAATTCGACGGGTTTGGTCGTGGGTTGCCGAACATATGTGTGGCTGGATATGAAAGAAGAAAAAAGGTGGAAAAGAAGAAAAAAAATAATAGGAAAGGAAGAGATAGAGGGAAGAAGAAAAAAAATAAGAACAAACAATTAAGAGAAGGGAACACAGATGATGATGGGTAGGAGGCGGCGGCCGACGAGAGAAGAAAATTAAGAGATGGAAGAGAGAGAAGAAAAAAAGGGCATAAAAAATATTAGAAAAATAAGTGTGGTGAATAATAAAGGGAAGAATCTATACAAAAATATAATAAAGGGGAAGAAAGTGTGAAAGATTAAAAAAATGTATATAAATTATAATTTAAAATATTAAAATTTATAAAATTATTAAAAATTTTAAAAAAATAAAAAAATCGATTGAACCCGTCAAACTGTAACCCGAAAGCTGATCCGGTTTTGTGTCCGGTCCGATACTGATATCATTGATTATTACATAATATACTACAAATCAAAGTATAATTAATTTAATTTAATTGTACGCTTCATTTTTTAATTAATCAATTTCTTTTTTCAAAATAGTAAAAAAATGACATATAAATGAAATAATGCATTTTTAATTATTTATTTTTAGGGTAAATTACAAACTCCTAAGCTTAGGCTAAATAGCGAAAAACAGCCCACATAACAGTAATAACTAATAATAAGTATGATCCACATTATCAAGTAAATATTTTACTACATCAATACAATATGTTACATATATAAGTTAATTGATCGATGAAGTTACTTGTTAACAAAAATGGATCAAAATAATAAACAAAATTAAACAATTCTCTGAACTGTTGTTTTCGTAGATTATTTTAAGTTTCGTATCCCCTAGCCAATAAATAATTAAAAAAATATCTTAATAATTAAAGATTAAAGTATTGTCCAAGTGCGTTAATGAATTAAAGAGAAATCTAATTTATTTAATATAATATATAAACTTATGGTATGAATTTTGAACAATATCTCAAATATATTTGTAATATTAGCATTAGAATAGTTCATATTTGTTATATTATTATTTTTTTTAATATATTATATATTAGTTTTAGTCACCATGAAATTGTTTTACAAAGATCAAAATAAGTATAAATGATTAATAAATCAAAATCAAAATGTGATTATTTTTAAGCAACACACATATGTGTCGAATATGTAACTAGGATATCAAAAGTGACGAATTAATGATGAAACTTAAAATGTGACAGATCCATTACCGAATTACATGTGACGGATTTGTGATTGAATAAAGACAGTGACAAATAAATGACATAATTTAAAATATGACAGATTTTTTACGGAGTTATCTATGACAGATGTGTGACGACAATGAAATAACGACAGATCAATGACAAACCTTGAATGTGACGGATTTACGACTGAAATGTATGTGACAGATATGTGATGGAAACGGGATTGTGACGAATTAGTGACCAATATTAGTCAAACTCATACTTCTTTAAAAATATTATGACCGATTTGTGACCACCCTATTTTCCGTCATAAAATATGTCACCGATTTGTGACAAAACTAATTTCTGTCAAACAATATATGACTGAAATGTGACAAAAGTTTGGTTGTCACTAAATTCGTCGCAAAATTAGTCACGTAGTCGTCGCAATCAATTTGCAGAGTTTTTGTAATGGAAGAAGTCACAAATTTGTCACTAATTCGATCACTAGTTGTGACAGATTTAGTGTGTCACAAATTTTCCGTTACAAAAGCCATGTTTTTTGGTAGTGTCTTCGACGTGTGCAATATAAGTTAAGGGTTTCTTATCCCATCTTTGGTCCCTCCCGAGAAGGGGGCCAATGCCCCTGTAAATAATAATAATTATAATTATAATTATTATAAAACATAACATAAATAATAAGAAATCTGAAAAGTGTAGCAACAAAACAAAACCTCACCTCATACGAAGGAAGATGTCGAACTTGTTGTTGGCAAGGGCTCCTTGCACCAAAAGCTTATTATCCGAATCGTATGTGAACACGATTCGGACACACTTTAATATGTAATATGCATATAGTTTCTTGCCCGTGAAATAGCCATTGCTCACAACCCTATACTGTTGATCCCAGATCGATGAGTGTACGACGAACCCTTTTGTGTTCGGAGGCACATCTTTCAACGGGAAAAGATACAATCCGGCGATTGGTTGGAACCCGATCGTCTTATCCGTTAGGTTTACCAATTCTGTGATAAACAAAACCATCTCTCTCTCTCTAACTCTCTAACTATGAAAATATATATATAATTCAATCAATTTTTCTGCGTCGAGATAATGATTTTAGGTTATATAGTACATATATATATAGACAGAGAGAGATTCATGTTAAGGTCGAAGAGAGAGTCCTGCTCAAAAACGAGGAGAGAGAGAGAGAGTTTCTTGTTGAGAAAAGAGTCCTGTTCTTCTATAGAGAGAGAGAGAGACGTGAGTGTTGATGATTTGGTATGTCGCAAATAAATAGGAAACTACTACATATTTTGTGGGAACTAAAAATAAATAAAAAATAATATTATATATATATATATAATATTACATCTCTGTCCTCGTCTGTTTCTTCCCCCCTAGTTCATATTCAAAGTTAAAACAGGGCTTGTATTTACTGTAAATCTCAAGTCATTCATGGCTTAAAGATGAGTTTCAACTTTCAAGGGGTATTTTTTTTATATATAAATTACAAACTAACCCCTAATGTGTATATTACTTACAAATATGTCCCTCCCCTATTTTTATTATTTAAACCTCGAGTCAAGCTGATGGAGTTCATGCGAGCTCGACTCGTTCACACCCCTACTCAGAACTCTAGAGATTTACTGCATCAATTACCATAGCTCAATTAACATATAAATGTAAAATAGAATCTAAAACTACTCTTTTTAAATAATGTTGGACTAATTAGCTGGTACCGAAATTCTATTAATTTATCGAAATATTAATCGAACGATATCTTTTTTAGTTACGTCTTCTTCAAGTTGGGACCGCAAAAACATATTATTTAAACGAGGTTAATGGTTATTAATTTATCGAAGTTATTAATATGTTGGGGTTTTTCTTTCTTTTTTTTTTTTTTTTTTTTTTGTTAAGGGCTTTTTCATTGATCTGAATTTTGCAGAATATACACATTCCTGGTAATACTGTTTTTCTAAACAGCATGGGTTTCCCCTTTCGAGTTCGGTTTCCTCAGACGACCAGAGGAATCCTCTCCATAACCGACAACGTCGTAAACGGAATATTCTTTGTCGACATTGTGCTCACTTTCTTCGTAGCCTACCTCGATAAATCGAGTTTTCTTCTAATCGACAATCCGAAGCCAATCGGTTTAAGATACGCGAAGACGCTCTTCTTCGATGTTGTCTCCATGATACCTTCCGAACTCGTGCATAAAATTTTACCCTCCGATCTCGAATCATACAAAACTAGGCAATTCGTAAGTTTTATAAATTTTTTAAATGTGATTGAAAATTTATTATTATTTTTTATTTTATTTTACCGACTAAGGTGGCCGGTGTGATAGAGAGAAGCAATTAACGCTGCCTGGAGTTTTGCGAAACGGAACCTTCTGCTACCTCATCTAAGGGCTGCAACAGCAAGAAACTCTCGACGTACTTCCAAAGGCGATTCGCTCGAGTATATCGCATTTTATGTTTTACTCGATCACATGTTGATAAGGTCTATTTATTTCATGGGGTGTCGAATGATCTACTGTTTCAGCTGGTAATAATTAGCCTTTTCTTGTTATTCATTTGATTTCGACATAACTACCAAAAAATAGTTTTTTTTTTCCCTTCATTTTATTGATTTTCTTATGGTCTAACATATCGTAGGTATCGGAGATGAAACCGGAGTATTTCCCACTGAGAGAAGACATAATTTAACAAAACGAAGCGCCTACAGATTTCTACATTCTACGGTCCATTGTCGTATATCAATGGACCGTGATTAATGTACTGAAATGACGAATATGCCCTTGTCCCGTTTATGCTCAAATTGTGTTGTCGAATGAAACAAATTGCAGGATATGGGAAAAATACCGGCGGGTTATATTTTCGCTGCCATAATACCAGCTATGATGATAGCTTCGATCATAGTGTAGCTTCACAACTGGCGCAACAAAAGGAACTCAATCTGAAAAATCCGTCCGTCAGCTTACCATTACGATATTTTCTTGCTTGGAGTTATGGTATGGAATTTAAAATTTTCGTCGTGATTCTTCTTTTTTTTAGTTGAGCCCGTAAATATTTACCGAACATGATTGTGATGGCACCGTCAGATGTGGCTGAACTTTCTCGTATGGTCAACACTGCAGTCAACATTGATGACCGGCCAGTTTGATTTCGGTTTCCTAGAGGTGCCGTTGATTTGACAAACCATAAACCATATGTCGGAGAACCCATTGAAGTAAATAAGCGATCGAACAGATTGGCATAGGGAGAGTACTTGTAGAAGGTAAAGATATTGCTTTGTTGGGATTTGGCTCGATGGTACAAAATTGTCTTAGAGCACATAATCTTCTTTGGAAGCTTGGTATTGAAGTTATTGTGGCTGATGCGCGATCGATATTAAATTAATAAGAATGTTATGCAAGAACCATAGATTCCTTATCACATACGAGGTCTCGAGAAAGGTTCCGTTGGAGGATTTGGTGCTCATGTTGCTCGATTTATTTCTCTTGATGGGCTGCTCGATGCTGGAATTAAGGTAAGAAATAAATTCACTTAGTTTGTATAAATCTGGAATTAAACAATTTCTTATGTGTATTTCTCGATTTGATTCTGCAGTGGCAGCCTATAACTTTACAGGATAATTATATTGAGGGTGCATTGCCACAAGAACAACTCGCTCTTGCTGGTTTAACGGGGAATCACATAGCTGCAACTGCTTGGTCGAACTCGTGAAGCTCTTCGATTAATGTGCGGGTAAGTTGATCCGATTATTGATTCGATTAATATATACAATGTTTTGTACAGGTTACGATACTATTTTCATGTAAGAGCGGGCATATATGTGTGTGTTTGGTGTTGGTTATTTGCATAGATTGAAATTGAAGATATTTCTTACGAAGGATGTGAGTTACTTGTGAAAGATTAAATACTACTCGTTCGAATTTCTGTTTGTTGTCTTTCTGAACATAAGCTTTGTGTTTGTACATTTATGTAAGAAGATAACGGTTGTTTCGTAATTATCGATGAATGTGTTCATTCTCTTTCCATATTTTTTTTCACTTAAATTGTCAAATCACAAGGTTCTAGAGTCTTAGAGTATTATGCGTTTATGACTGGCAATTTGCACCCATAATTGTGTGAGGGGTGAAAAACGATATGTAACATAAAATTGCAAATTGCAAAATGCAAAATGAAAACAACTAAAAAGAAAAGAAAACAAATTAATCAAAACAACACTAACTTTTTGAATGAAAACTAATGTGCAATATGAAATTGCAAATTGCAAACAACAAAACGGAAAAAGAGACTTACTGCCAACAAACAACATCTCACCCCAAATCCATTGACGCTACCCCTAACTCCGCCACAAACTCTAGGGTTGCCGCCGGCGTAATTAACTCAATCAATGGAGTGCAACCAGTAAAAGTCGGCGAGGATGGTGGGCCCAAGACGGAGATACTGTAGGGATCGAAGCGGAAGGTGGATTCCGAACGCCCATGAAGAGGTCATCAAATCTGGTGGGCCGCTTGCCGTAGAACCACTACTCAAGATCGGGGCGAGAATTTTCTTAATTGCCTTCCATCGTATCAAAATCCGACGTCTTCAATCTCTCATACGCCGCTCACAAGTAATGAATCACGTCATTTAATATGAGAGATTTGCTCCCTTATTTCCAGAAATAAAACAATAGAGTATTTGGGGGTATTTATGTATAATTACTTATCATTTTATTTAATTTATATTATTTTTTTTGTTAAGGGACCTATAGCTATAATCATCTAATAAATTGGACATCCACCTATGTAAGTTGGTGGAGAGGAGGTTCTAGCTAATTTTCCCTTTGCGAATGATATGCAAAGTTCCTATTCAGTACACGTGTCCCATTTTTTTATCAGGCTGAATTGTAAATAAGTAAAACGCATTTTCGGCTGAATTGTAAATAAATAATACGCATTTTCTTGGAACAGCGCTTTGTCAATAGTAGATACAGTGGACCCCAATATAGCTTTCTCCTCCGACTGTGTGCAATTTCTTTTCAAAACATTCTTTTCCCGGATTCCTATTTTCTACATACTCAAATCTCAACCCGTGTCTCTCTCATCTCTCTGTCTTCCTCTTTCTCTCTCTACAGTCTACACCACTGCATTTTTTTGTCAAAAAATGGTTGGCAAAGAGAGAAAGTAGGGAGCTTACATAATGAAACCAAAACACAGCTATAAGAAATAATCATAATACAGAGAGAGAGAGAGAGAGGTAGAGAGTTTTTTGCTTTCTCCTTTTTCCAAATTCTACCCCGCCCTCCTCCGGCGGCGGTTTTCACTACCGGAAAAATTAAAAAAAACAAAAAGAAAAAAAAAACAAACCATTTTCATCAACAAACCTATCCTTGTCCTTCAATCTGATCCTCATTGTATTAAAACTTTTACCAACAACCCACATTTACCGAATCTTGATTTCGGCCTCTTGTAGTTTTCCTTCATCCTAGGTTGTTTTTCTTTTCTTGATTTTACGTTGGATGTTGCAATTATTACATTACTGTTTGTTGTGATTGTTGTGCATTTTCATGAATCCCTGGCATGTTTAAAATCAATGGGTGTGTTACTATTATTGATTTTATTTGTTGGTTTCTCAGTTTAATTGTTTGTTAATTCCAGGAAGAAAAAAAATCCTATTTTTTCAAGAAGTTTTGACATGAAAGAAGAAAAAAGATCCCATTTTTATCTCTATTTTTCAGCTCTTTAGTTTTCTTTGAAATCGAAATGCATAAAGTGTTTGATATAGGTAAGATTGTGTATATTGTGAATGGAATTATTATTATTATTGACATGTTCAATATTTTGTTTCTTGATTTGCAGCCATGACGATGGATCAGGGGGTAACGACACCGTTCAGCGGAATGCTGAACGATGTCAAAGGAAGGCTAGCTTGCTACAAGAAGGACTGGATCGATACATGCGGCTCGGGTGCAAGGTGCATTTCCTTTTGTCGCATTTAATTGCGGGCTTTATTTCAATTAAGTAGCCTAACGATTTGATTTTTATTGTTTGTTCGCCTAAAGATTTGATTTTTATTGTTTGTTCGCCGAAAGATTTGATTTTTATTGTTTGTTCGCCTTCTCAGGATTCTGGCTCCAACTGCGTATATTTTCTTCGCTTCTGCTCTCCCTGTTATCGCCTTTGGCGAGCAATTGAGTCGCGAAACAGGTCACTTTGTTAATACAGTAAATTTAACAAACTAATTCGTAAAATACGATTGTTGGGATTTCTTGAATTTTTTTAATTTTTTTTTTGTTGTAACAGATGGAAGCTTGAGCACTTCCGAAACTCTTGCTTCGACAGCTATATGTGGGGTCATCCATTCGATTTTCGGTGGGCAGCCATTATTGATATTAGGTGTTGCAGAACCGACTATTATAATGTACGCCTACTTATACAATTTTGCCAAACACAGTGTAGGAAAGGAATTGTATTTAGCTTGGGCAGGGTGGTAAGCAACCTAACCTTCAATTTTTTTTTTAATTTTATTTAATGTTCGATTTGCGTAATGAGTCATAGTTCGATTTGCCAAAAACAGGGTTTGTGTGTGGACTGCATTGATGCTGTTTATTCTCGCAATATTCAATGCATGTACAATAATAACTCGATTCACAAGGGTTGCGGGGGAATTATTTGGCATGCTAATCACCGTTCTTTTCATTCAAGAAGCCATCAAGGTAGAGTACTATTTCCTCCTTCACTTCATTAAAAAATAATATAAAAACTTATGTTCGCTCTGAAAAAAAATAATTATTCTCGAATCACACACACAGGGTGTGGTAAGTGAATTCAACATTCCGACGGGCGAAAATGCATCGGACGAGAAATACCAATTTCAATGGCTTTACACTAACGGTTTGCTCGCGGTTATATTCTCTTTCGGCTTACTTATCACCGCCTTGAAAAGCAGAAAAGCTAGATCTTGGCGTTACGGTTCAGGTACGGTGGGGAGCATTATCGTGATTTTACAACGATGAAATTCATTAAATTCCGACAGTATTTAAATAGTAATTCATTAATTTTTTTTTTTTTGCGCAATTTGGACAGGTTGGTTTCGGAGTTTTATTGCAGACTACGGTGTTCCAATGATGGTCGTTGTATGGACTGCATTGTCGTATAGTATACCTAGCCAAATTCCTACGGGTGTTCCAAGGCGGCTCTTTTGTCCTCTTCCTTGGGAATCGGAATCACTGTATCATTGGACGGTGATCAATGTACTGAAATGACGAATATGCCCTTGTCCCGTTTATCATTTTTTTTTCACAACTTAATAGAAATTATGCTCAAATTCTGTTGTCGAATGAAACAAATTGCAGGATATGGGAAAAATACCGGCGGGTTATATTTTCGCTGCCATAATACCAGCTATGATGATAGCAGGTTTATACTTCTTCGATCATAGTGTAGCTTCACAACTGGCGCAACAAAAGGAATTCAATCTGAAAAATCCGTCTGCTTACCATTACGATATTTTCTTGCTCGGAGTTATGGTATGGAATTTAAAGTTTCCGTCGTGATATATATTTTTTTTAGTCGAGCCCGTAAATATTAATTGAATTTTTTTTTAGACGCTGCTCTGTGGTTTACTCGGACTTCCACCATCAAATGGTGTACTTCCACAGTCACCTATGCATACGAGAAGTCTTGCTGTCCTTAAGAGACAGGTTCAACATATAATCCTGCATGATTCCGTTTATAATTATTATTATTATTTTTTGAATAAAATGTTTTTTTGACATTTTGAATTTCGATTTTAGATAATGCGTAAGAAAATGGTGAAGAGTGCGAAAGAGGGTATTAAAGAGCAAGCGAGCAACTCCGAGATATACGGAAGAATGCACGCGGTTTTCATTGAGATGGAGGGTGCTCCATCTGTGAGTGTTGTCGTATTTCCCAAAAAAAAAAATAGTTAAATCGATTTATTTATTTATATATTCATTTTTTTTTTTCGCTCTAGCATGTTGCGGACAAAGAATTGGCGAACTTGAAGGAAGCTGTACTAAGCCACGAAGACGGAGAAGCAAATGACAATTTTGACCCCGAAAAGTGTATCGACCTACACTTACCCGTTCGAGTAAACGAGCAAAGAGTTAGCAACTTACTACAATCCATACTAGTGGGCCTCTCTATATGTATAATGCCTGTAATAAAAATGATACCTTCGTCGGTTTTATGGGGCTACTTCGCCTACATGGCAATTGATAGTCTGCCAGGTAATCAATTCTGGGAGAGGATTCTTCTGCTCTTTGTTCCACCTGGTCGTCGGTTCAAGTAAGCCCTTTTTTACATTAAATACCTTATTTTTCGCAAAAAGATTGATTATATAAAACTATTTTCAAGAATATATAAATATATAAAACTGATTTATTTATTATTATTTTCTTGGCAGAGTTATACAAGGCTTCCACGCATCGTTTGTGGAGTCGGTGCCGTTTAAATATATATTCATGTTTACGATTTTCCAGCTAGCGTATCTTTTAATGTGCTTCGGGATTACGTGGATACCGATAGCTGGAATATTATTTCCGCTCCCGTTTTTTCTCCTGATAAGTATAAGAGAGCATATTCTTCCCAAGATTTTTCCAGCTCACTGTCTTCAGGAGCTGGATGCTGCTGAGTACGAAGAAATCATCGGACGTTCCTTCAGAACTAGAAGCCTCTCCCTTACGGTACATTCATCTCTTCTTTTTGTTTTCGGTGAAGGGCATTTTCGTCATTTCTACTTTTTTTTTTGTGCTGATTTTGAATTTTTATTTTTGGCCACAAAAATAAAAATAATTAATAAAAAAACAGGATAGAGAATTACCGGATACTAATGGTGATGAAGCTTCTCCGGATGTATCTTCTGCCGAAATATTAGACGAGATGACGACACGCAGAGGTGAATTAAAGCACAGATCTGTGAGTTTTAATGACAGGCAGCTTCAGGTTCGTAAATATTAATTATAAAAAGCGTTTTAATTTGTCCGAAACTGCTTATATATGTATGTATGCATATATGTATGTATGTATGTATGTATGTATGTATGTATGTATGTATGTATGTATGTATGTAATGGTTATATGCATTTTCCAGGCTATACCAGAAGGCCCTGCTGGAGTATAAGGAAGAAGTATGTAACGAAAATGTCCTAATCAAAGTATGTTCTTCAAGAGTTATCTGTAAGAAACGAGGAAACGAGAAAAAGGAAGAAATATAGGAAAAAGCAAAAGTACGATATTTTTTTTTCTCGACTCGTTTCCGAAATTAATGAGGTTATAGTTTGTGTGTGCAACTGCACAAGCCCTTCATTGTTTCTTGCAATTTTCCCAGAGTGGCCGAGTGAAACGCGAAGAAGGATATCGGAGAGCGAAAGACGGTTAGAGATTAATAGAACAAATTATTCTCTTCCAGCTATAAAAAAATTAGATTTTTTTTCTTTTCAAACTTTTTCCTTTTGCCTCCAATTTTTATGATATTTTTTTTTATTTTTTAGTATTTGATTCGATGAGGGTTTACTTCATCGGATGTGAAATTTAGACGGACGACGAATCGTTTTATTATTTTTTATTAGCTGAATTAATTGTTGCAAATGCAGTTTGTACTATGTATTGTAGCAGGCTTGGGACATTTTTAACTACTCATGAATGATATATGTAGTTGAAACATTGTACATAATATACATAAATTATTTAAATATATATATATATATGTGTGTGTGTGTGTGTGTGTGAATTAGTGATAATGATGACATACACTGGATTTAGCACTAAAGCCGAATTGGCCTAAATGCAAAGGGCAAAATGATTAATTGCATTTATTCTCAATAATTCAGTGTTCTAATAGATGCTGTGGACCCCACCAAGATTTTTTTTTAAATTTAGGTATTATGCTTTTTGAATATTAATTTTGGCCACTCAAAGTTTTGTAAATATTTGTTCTAACCCTTCATTTTTATATTTTTTCCCTTCATAATCTTATATAAATTATAGATGTAAAATTATATTTAATATAACAATATAAAATTAAAAGTTACTATGTTAAGTAAAAATTATGAATATTTACTTTTATTTTTTGTAATCGATATCTCTAAATAATAATTTAGGGCATGTTTTCCAAAACATTATTAGAATCATTTAGATGAATTATAGTTCCTTTTGGCATGTTTTCAATATGATAAGATTATCGTATCTATTATTTTAATTAAAAGTTAGCAAATAAAACTATTTTTGCAATCTCTTGAGTACCTAAAAGAAAAAAAAAATTGGGGCACCGTCTCGAATCCCGAAAATTTAACTCGCCCTACCTATGTTTTGATCCTCACTCCGCTTCTGATCGGCTCCAAAACATTCAAGAGTTCGGTTTTTTTGTTTGGTCTCATAATATATAATTTTCCGGTTAAATTTCTCGAAACGAATAAAACATTATTACCAAGCAGTTTCATTGAAACACAAAATTGGTCATTACAAATTACAATCTAGTATTCTATACAAAAACTAAAATAAAAATAAATTAATAAAGAATGACTTAACTAATAGCTCAAGATTCTCATACTAAAGAAATTTCTTTTGTAATAAAACTAAAAACAATAAAATGAAAAGTCTCTTAATTCTCCAGTGAGGTACTGGTTGAGCTTTCAGAAGCAGCTCCACTAAAGAGAACAAGGTGGTCACCATCCCTTATCACAGACCAATCATCAATCACAAATCCATCCTTTGTCTTAATCTTGGTAGTATGTAAACCAAATTTCTGATACCCCAAATCCAATACCTCCTGCATTGATCCAGGCAAAATCACAAGCTTCCCTGCTGTGTCACCCTTCTCTGGACAACTCACTGTCACTCTAGCACAATTCTGCACCGCGCCAAGATTCACCGAAGGCCTTCCTCCTGCACAGTTTAAATAGATATATTCATTTTTAAAACAAAAAAGAAAAATTATTATTACAATTTGAATAGTTGTTAGTTACCTTCATTTTGTATCTGTCCAGCTTTAACAATCCCGACTAGCGAATTCTCGAAAACGCCCGGTTTTCCCTTTGACCGGTTTTCCCTTCTCTCTCTAGAACTCAACACGTTATCGAGATTATTGATCGAGGGTTCGGTGGAATATTTCCTGAGGTAAGGTGCAACGTGCTGCCCCTGCATGTCAGGCGTCAGATTGCTGTTGGTCCGTTGATGATGATTTTGTGTGCTCTGATCACGGCCCTCCGATTTCGCTATGGTGTTGAAAAACTCCTTGATCTCTTCGTTGCCCTGGTGGTCGGCCAAGGCGCGTGGGGTCCACCCGTGCGAGTCGGCATTATCTATATCGGCCCCTTGTTCGATCAGGTACTTTACGATCTCGATGTTTTCTTCGGAGACAGCTGTGTGGAGTGCTGTGGTCCCCGCTCCGCTTAGCTGTGTGACATCAGCGCCGTGTTTCGTGATTTTCTTGAGTAGTTCGATGTCGTTTTGCTCGGATGCGAAGCATGCGAAGTGGCCCACGTCGCCGGAGGAGAGTGTGGCCCCATTATCCGTGAGTACTCGTATAACGGGCTCGTGGTTTCCCAATATTGCATCCCACAGAGGAACATTTCCTTCGGAATCTGTTTTCAAGAAATATACATACATGTTTCAAGAAATATACATAGACGAAGAAGAGAATCTTGAAGTATCGAGAAAAGGGACCTTTTTTGTTGGGGTTTGATCCGAATTCGAGTAGTAGAAGGATACAGTCGAGAAATCCCTTTGCTGCTGCAAGATGCTGTACATATACATACATACATACAAACAAGAATGTATTATTTATTTGTTTATTATTACAGGAAAAGAAAAAAAAAAAAAAGGGCGATTACCAAAGCACTTCTTCCGTTAGTGTCCAGCTCGTTTGGATCGGAGCCCCGTCGTAACAAATGGTGAAGCAGCAGATTATAGCCTCTGCCTGCTGCAAAGCATAAGCTAAGAGGCATATCCATTCTTCCATGGGCCAACATTTGTTCTGTGTAGGTCAAAATATCATGCATTACAGGGTCCTTGTGCTCTTTCAGATGCTACAACAAATAAGTGAATTAAATAATTAATTATGTAGTTAATAATTAAATAAAAAAATTTACTTAACTCTTTTTTAATTACCTCAAGGAGATTGTTCATGATTACTGTGGCATCTCCAACATTAGCCTGGAGAATATTGAAGAAGGAAGTACGATTCAATCGAAGTAGCTGACTCAGCCGTTTTGTACGAACGGTAAAAACTTGCGGCCTATAGCAAACAACACCTACTTCACCGCAAACATCGCCCGTGACCAACTCTCCCACGACCTAACATAATTTCCATTTGTCACACATTATTGCATGAATAGAGATAACATTATAACAACTTATACATTACCCTTTCGGTTCCGTTTCTCTGCGAGATAAGATCCTATCACCAAGAAGAAGAAGAAGAAGAAAAACTCGTCAGTTACTATTTTTCGGTAATTATTAGCATAAGCAGTTGCTAAAGGTGACAAGAAAAAAAGAACAGGATAATATACCACTGCCCCATTAACCAGAATGTAGAAATCTGTAGGCGCTTCGTTTTGTAAGATTATGTCTTCTCTCAGAGGGAAATACTCCGGTTTCATCTCCGATACCTACGATATGTTAGACCATAAGAAATCAAGAAAATGAAGAAAAAAAAACTATTTTTTGGTAGTTATGTTGAAATCAAATAAATAACGAGAAGAGGTTAAATTATTACCAGCTGAAACAGTAGATCGTTCGACACCCCATGAAATAAATAGACCTTATCAACGAGCGAGTAAAACAGAAAATGCGATATACTCGAGCGAATCGCCTTTGGAAGTGCATCGAGAGTTTCTTGCTGTTGCAGCCCTTCGGAATCTGTTCTGTACTTTAGGCTCAAGTGGGCTATCATCTGATCTTGCAGATGAGGTGGCAGAAGGTTCCGTTTCGCAAAACTCGAGGCAGCATTTATCGCTTCTCTCTATCACACACCACCAAGAATTAATTAGTCGGTAAAATAAATAAATTACAACTTTCCCAATCACATTTGAAACTTACGAATTGCCTAGTTTTGTGGGTCGCTTGAACAATCAAGTGAGTCATGTTTCCGATGATGTAAGCAGTCAGACCGAGCACTAACAGAATGTAGAAAATATCGAACACCATTTCCCCGGTGTTCACGGGATGAAGATCACCATAACCTACTGTGGAAAGCGTGACAGTGGCTAAGTACATCGATGTAATATACTTGTCCACCAAAGACTCCGAGTGGAAATTTTCGTCTATAAGCCCAAACCATGTTTTCGTTGGGTCCTTGTATTTATCCGCCATAAGATAAAATATGCAACCCGCACAATGAACCGTAAAAAGACTGACCTATACATACACATAATCATAATAGTAATGCAAGCTTGATTAGATAATTAAAATCGAAATTCTTGCATTTCATAATAAGTACCCGTAAGATAACTTACACATGCAAGCTTCACCACTCGAACCGCGATGTAGTTAAAGTTTCGGTCTTTCTCCAATCTGCGGTAATTATTAAATATTAAGCGGTATATATACAAATTAAACGTAACAAAAACAACATTGCGAAACAAAAGAAACTATACCTACGAAACATCGCGCTGACTCGTCTAAGACGCCATAGGCGAAGAAGACTAAAGTAGCCGTACGATTCGAGATGGGAGGGTAAAATCTTATGCACGAGTTCGGAAGGTATTGTGGAGACGACATCGAAGAAGAGCCATGATTTCGCGTATTTTAAACCGATTAGCTTTGGATTGTCGATTAGAAGAAAACTCGATTTATCGAGGTAGGCTACGAAGAAAGTGAGCACAATGTCAATGAAGAATATTCCGTTTACGACGTTGTCGGTTATGGAGAGGATTCCTCTGGGTCGTCTGAGGAAACCGAACTCGAAAGGGGAAACCCATGCTGTGTAGAAAACCAGTATTACCAGGAATGTATCCCATATTCTGCAAAAATCAGATCAATGAAAAATCCCTAAAATTTTGGGGGGGGGAAGCCCTAAATTGAGGCCTTAATACCTGTAACGGGAATCGAAGGGGGAGATGATGAAACGACGTAGTTTGATCTTACGGTTGCTGCGGGCACCGAGGGGTGGAAGAATGCCACTGGAGAAGCTGATTGAGCTAATTCCGCTTCTTGATGGAACCCTATCCATTTCTGAATTCTTGTAACCCTTTGGATCTAGGGTTCCTCCTCCATTCATCCATTTTCCCTTGTATTTCATGATTAATGAAAAAAAAAAACACAAATGCGGTTTTTAATTTTCTTCTTTGTTTGCCTGGAATTCTAAATTTTCATTGATCGCCTGATTTTGTTTTGATTTCCCGAAAGTTGGAGGAATCAACCATTTTCGGTTTTTTTCTCTCTGTTTTTTTCCTGTTTTTTCTCTGGCTCGTGTGCATGGCGTCGAGCAGGGGAGATGAAACAGGGGGAATAATAAAACGCTATTTAGATTTTTTTTAATTTTTTTTTTTGGTTATATAGTAACACGCTTTTAAGGTAAATTCCTTTTTTTTCCCATGCATAATGGTACACGCTTTATTAGGATGGTGATGGAAATCGAACGGAATCGATTGGAATTGGCAGGAAGAAAAAAAATTCAATTTGTAAAAAAATAATTTCAATTTTTTTTATAGGATTTCCAAAAAATTGGAAATCGGAACTTCGAAATATGATAAATGATAATCGAGCTTAATACAATCAATGCACTACACTTGTTCTAGTTTAATTTTTTTCTAGTTTTTTTTTTAATAATTTTCAAATCAATTTACATTAAAAAGAATGATACTTTGCATATCCAAATATATTTGGACGAGTAAACTGCAAATACTACCCCTGTGTTATCTCGAAATAGCAAAAACCCCCCTGTGATAAATAAACTAGCAAAAACCTCCCCTGTGAAATTATTTAAATAGCAAAAACCCCCCTATGGAACTATTTAAGGGTTGACTTGATATAAAAAGACACAAATACCCCTGGAGTCTTGCAATTAATAAATTCTTATATTTTATAAATATTTTAATTATTTTATTTAAAAAATAATCAATTTAGTTGTTTACTATTTTTTTTAATTTCTAAACAAACAAATTAAAAAGAATAAATACACATATAATATGTATATATATAAATACATTTTGAGGGACAATTTTGTCATTTCGAGTCTAAAAAATCAGCTAGGGGGGATTCTGCCTTTGACTAAATTTCACAGGGGGGTTTTTGCTAGTTTATTTATCACAGGGGGGTTTTCGCTATTTCGAGATAACACAGGGGTAGTATTTGCAGTTTACTCATATTTGGACTTCTTATATCTAATTATAAAAGGGCAAATTGCACATCATCCCCCTAAAAAATTATACTTTTCGCACTTTATCCCCATAAAATTTTAAAAAGTTAATATGCCCTTTAAAATTTTATTCTTATTGCATATTGCCCCAATAGCAAAATTTCGATGAATTATTCATCGGCATTTGAGTATTTTTACTGCGCATTGCCCTTTTGTATGCTATTTTTGTTGCACGTTACCCGTTAAACACATTATCTTTTTGCAGATTGCCCCTTTAAAATATTATCTTTGTTGCACAATGCGCACTAAAAATTGGCTTATGGGGCAAAGTACAACCAACATAATATTTTGAACGAGGGATTATCCAGTTTTTGAATTTTTAGGGGCCAAAGTGCAAAAATGGAAATGGGGTTAAAGTGTATTTTGTCGATTATTATAATATAATATTAATATAATGAATTAACTAACCACACGGCCCGCCTAAGGCCCAATAGTTCATGCTGGCCCAATAAATGTAAAAATGTGGAATACCATTTCCTTCACTCTTCTGTGCTATTCCTATAATTCCCTACAGTTTGACCTATAGGCGGTGTAATCGAGATTTCCGGAAGTGTCGTTAGACAAGTAAACGAGCTGAACAAAGTCGCTATTTTACTTTCGTCATTTAATAAAGCACCATATCGAGAAATTAGAAAACTGCAGAAATATTCACTGGCAAGAGGAGAAAAGTTCTAGGGTGAGAAAGCTCCAGAGTTTTTAGAGAGAGAAACAAAGAGCCGATGGCGTCTGCTATTAGCAAATGGCTGGTCGACCCAACTCGCAACCCCCTCGCCCGCCTCCACATGAAAACTATAGGCAATCGCCTCAAAAAATACGGTACTTAATTCATATAAGCTCCGGCGTATATTAATTAATCGACGAGTTTTTTTTTTTTTTTTTGTTACTTTTTTATTTAATTAATGATTTGGGGTTTCAGGTCTTCGGCACGACGATTTATACGATCCGATGTACGAATTGGATGTGAAGGAGGCTCTGAATCGGTTGCCCAGAGAAATCGTGGATGCGCGTAATCAGCGCCTCAAGCGCGCCATGGACCTCTCCATGAAGCACGATTACCTTCCGGCAGATCTTCAGGTATTCGTATACGATATCTGTATGCGCTTCTGTTTTATAGAGTGATTTGAATCTCTGTTAGGTTTCTGCAATATTAGGGGATCTTGTTAATTAATTAATTAATTAATTATATACGAATGTTATGTGGCTGGTATTTATGTGTTATTGAATTTTTTTTTTTTTGGCTAATTTCTATGTGCTTGTACCTTATATATGAATGTATGTGCGGGTAATTATTTGTTGTTGGATTTTGTGTTTTATGTTTTGGCACGTTTCATATGCTTGTACTTTTGGTAGCAAATGCTTGGGGATCGATGGAAATGCTATTATTGAGTTATGAATCAATCTGTCATTGTTCGCGTTCGTCTTTTTCTTCATTTTTGTAGCATCATTTGCTTGTTGGCTCAACTAGTGGAAAGTGGTTATAAACAACTTGTTGTTTGGAGTCGGCTGTATTCGTAAGTGAGGACTGAGAAATAGGGGTTGTTTGTGTTTCTCCGAGAGTAAAATACCAAGCATACCGGGTATAAATTATGAAGATAAGCTTGTGGATAATCAGACACTGTTGTAGGTTACATGTTTAGACTGCTATTTCAGAGTAGCCTAGGGTTATTCATTGATTATCTGCATTGTATACATGCCGAGCTCCATAAATCATGTTCTTTCTTGTTCAGAGATTGTTCGTGTTCGCATAATTTATGTGATGCAACTTGTAAAATCTAGTAGCATGCCAATCAATGGGAATGCAGAATGAGAAAACATGTTACTTATTAATGCACATCTTTTTGTGTTTATATTAACTTATCTCTAACGAATGTTTTGTTCAATGCGAGAAGCTATTTTTGGTCTATCTGTTGTGTAAAGTATGCATAATAGATTACTACAAAAGAGTGGTTTTATGGCGACTTATTAGAGCTGTAAAAATATCGCATTGTTTCAGCCCCTTAACTTTATATGTTGGGATTGCAGTAGACAAATTTGAGTTGCTACTTTTTTAACTTTCTGATAGTTTAATCTAGCATCGCTATCCTACTTTCTTACTTGAAACTTCAGTCTGTTTTTCTGATGCTGCATATGTGTCGTTGCAGTAAACAATCTTAAGTGACTATATAGAACCCCATTCGGGTGAAGTTGACGACCGATATGTTTATGTATCATATATTCTAGCATCACTGTGCTATTTCTCTTTCTCGGAACTCCATTTGTATTCCTGATGTTGGTTGAATAAAGGTTATTGTGCCTAGAGTGTGATATTTTAGACTGGTTGTGTCCTTTCTAATTTGATGTATGATAAGAAACTGTTCTATATATAAGCTGTGGGCAAGACATGAAAAGGTGAAAAGGATATTAAGTATAAGACCGATACTCAGTTGTATTAAAAAAATCTTGATATCGGATTGTCGATTGTAGTATTATGTTGACTGCTAGGGAACCACTGGTAATAGTTGCTGTCTCTTAGCATATTGTACTTCTTTAGTGTCTCTCCATTGTGATTTATGACAATCTCTGTTTTCTTTCTCTTCCTTTGCTCTTGCGGAGTACTCTGCAATACATGTAATCAATGCCTCGTTACTAAGCTTTTCTTCACATATATGTAACTTTGAATTCTCAACTTGCTCCAAGTAATATGAGCTTTTATATTGACTCATTGCTCCCTTTCTAAGTTGTGCGTGCGTATCCTTATTTAATGAATATGAGCTATTTTTGCACTCATTTGACTGCCAACAATGACGCTTAATTTCTTTTCTCATCCGTTTTCTTTTACAGGCTATGCAGACTCCATTTAGGACCTATCTTCAGGAGATGCTAGCTCTTGTAAGTGACCGAATAGCTAAACTAGGTTACATAGTGTTGAATACTTTATAAAATATGTTATGTTAGTTCATAAAAGCTGTTATGATGCGATATAGATGATTTACTTCTCTGTAACAATTGGTGTAAAAATAACATAATTAACTTCTGACGTGTATTTCATGCATGTACTTTACCCTACAAGAGAGTGAGTTTCGACTACAAGTCTACAATTTGATTACTTTCTTACATGAGATCCACTTTTTCTTTTTTAACTAAATAAGCTAATGAGGCTGAGGAAGATATCTAAGTAGTTTCAAACACTAAAATTCTTATACGGAAGTCCAATTTTTTTCCTTCTCTCATTATCTTTTATGTGTCATATTCGTACTGAAGTTTTACTTGTATGCTTATAATGTTATTGCAGGTTAAAAGGGAGAATGCAGAACGAGAAGCACTCGGCGCTTTGCCCCTTTATCAACGCACCCTTCCCTAAGTGAATTCTATCTTCGTTAATTGAATTATATCTTCGTTAAGTGAATTCTATCTCTTGACTGAATAAGGGCCTTCCTGTGAATGGACTACAATGTGATGTTTGAATTTTGTACTCTGTCGACATCTGATGATTAATGGATTCTCATCGGTGTGTTATTAGTTTCACTTTATCAATATGGTTTTTAGCAGATATTATTGCTTTTTTAAATAATTGGTTGCAACTTCATAATACGTTACGACAATTGGTTGTATTTCTGAGGAGTTTATCTATGATTTAAATTGGTGTTTCTGGTTGAATTCCATCTGAATTGTTTGGAATGCTATGTGGCCTAACGTGTACAAATAGTTTCTCTGCCAATTTACTCTCCCGTTTGCCGAAAATGCGCAAATGTATGATTTTGTTGAAGGGTAGTTCTTTATGCGGTGTATACTTCATCGATTTGTAGTATGGATTTAATCTTGTAAGTTTAAATACACACTTCTTGAATCACCGGTCGTATGTGGGGCAAAAGGATAGAGTGATGATACGATATTTTATAGGTCCGCAAATGTGCTACACTTAATACGTATTTCGTTTGTGTTAATTTGTGTTCACAAAGTGATGACAGATTAGGGTTTACTGACTTATATCTATCTTTCGGATATTTTTCGAAAGGTCAGGAAGATTTATCTTGTGGGTACACATTGGTTCTCGTTTTCATAATTGTAGTCATAGCAATAGTGTGATATTGACAAGAAAATACTATTTACTTGGAAATGTTATTTGCTGGTAAAGTGTAGCTATCCTCTCACAATACGGTTAAATTGCGAGATCGGATCGGCGGACATATTTTTTAGTATGATTAAGTTATCGTAATTCGTAATATTACCTACTTATCGACATTCCATGTGATGACATGAGGGCTGGCCATTCTTCAATTCATGACTAATACCTGTAATTTATACACCATCTTCCATTTTGTCTCTTGAATTTATCATAAATACAGAGCTCCATCGGATCACTGACACGCCTTCAGATTATATTGTTCTTTTTTCTTCAGATTATATTCGTAAATCATAGTCTGCCAAATGGCGATCGGTATTTCGGTTTTTAATTTAATAGCGAACGATTACATGAAACAATAATAAAAAGCGACATATCTTCAAGTAAAGGAAAATAAGTTTGAAATAAAACATCGAATTCAAAACAGATTTTAACAACGTAAACTTCTAAACAGGTACACATAAAATAATGAAAAGAAGAATAAAAAAATCGAAAAATGAATACATGCATGAATGAATGATTGAAGAGAGAGAGACAAGAACATTTAAGAAGATCCACGTGAGAAGTAAATAAAAGAAGGGGGCATGTAATATGGAGAAACTGTGAAATTGTCTCTTAATTTTGAAGCTGAGGGTTCCATTTAATCAATGACTTCCTTTCTTACATGCATTCGTCTGCTCATCTGTCCCTTTCATATATAGTCTCTACTCTATTATTGTCTATTCATTTTTTACAATTTTCTTTCAAAAATTAGGTTTCTAAATTATTTATTTATTTTTTTCTCTTGATTTTAATTTAGCCTATAGACTTGATATGATGATGATGGAACCATCTTTCAAGAAAGACATCCTCATGTGCAAATTTATGAGTTATGCCCAAAAGGAGGATATATCTTTGTTTCGTGAAATTTCAAATTGGATTCGAATTTGCTTGGTTGATATGTACTTTTCTTCGGCATGAGATATTGCGGAGAGGGACTGTTCATTTTATTTTGTTTTCTGACGAGAGAATCACAGTTACTTAAGTGTATTGGGTAAACTCCATTTTCGTATAATATTTGCAAAATTGAACGAAACATGTGCACCAAGCGTGCGAACTCGAGTCGAATGACATAGGACTTTCTTACTCCACCAGCAATGTCACCTCTTATTCTAACTTAAATCAATGTAATATTAATTGAGGTTCCAAATTCGATAGAGCCGAATTGATAATGTCAAAGTTTGTTCAACGTAGTTTATACTTCTTATGTAATTTGCGAACGATTGTGCGGAACAAAGTTTTCCCCGAGTCCAGCAAGTTCCGCAACTTCCCCAATTACTTTTGGCAGTATGTAACAAAATAAATCTACTGATATTTTGCCAATTTTGAGCACCTCTACGAGCAATTTAAATAAATTTTAATAATAATTTACTAAAATCTTGATTTTGAAATAATATTATTAATCTATGCTTTTTACTGTAATTCATGTTAAAAAGATTAGCAAAGAAAGAATACCGACATCAAGAATCTTGATTTGTCACACTCGTAAAAGAAATTATTTACAACTTTTTGGCCTATTGAAGCTTTATAATTTGAGCCAATCCACATTCCACACAAATGACAAAATTGTCGGTTTCTGTTACTCACTTTTTTCCCATATCTTCCATAATAATTGGGTAAATTACAACTTGCCCCTACGGTGAGGTCTATTTACAAAAAACCCCTCATTTTCCATAATCACATCTAGCCCTTCAATTTGTAGATTTCTTACGTTAACAACACTCTTTAGTATGAGGAAGGTGTAAGAAAAAATTACAAGCTGTAGGAAGTTGGATAATTTTCAAAAAATAAAAGGTTTTTTCTGTAATTACATGAAATGCTTAATATTGCCACCATTCCCTTAGGCATGGATCTGGATTATGAAAAAAGGACAAAATGAATTATCATTTATATATATATATAGATATATATATATATATTTTATTTTGAGAATAATGAGGCTCAGATAATTGAAACGGCCCACATTTTAATTCGAATACTGAATCTGGTAGGCCCAAATAGATATTGAATAGGTTATAATTATAAATCTATCGAAAAAAGCCCAAACGTTAAAATTAAATGATGAGTAATTTTGGAGTGGTGTGTGTGTGTGTGATTTTCTACGTACACACTGACTCCTGACGTGGGCCCCACTTACTTATAGTGGGCCCCACAAATTCTCGTGGTTTGTTTTATTTTTGTCTGCCCATGAAAATTAAGTTGTGCTAACTTAAAAGATTACTTTTGTCCCTTTTCTTTCTTTTTTCACATGATTTTAATCTTTCATTTTAGGAAATATGAAATACAATAAAGCAATTTCATGATTGTAGTTGTTACGATCGGTGGTGAGTTCAAGAATTTGTTGCAGTGTGAACTCAGTGTCCCATTTTTTTTAATTTTTTTTTGTGTATATCAGTATATGCATACTTATGTGACCATATCTAAGTTCACGGTTAAATATCCAACGTATTTCTTCTGTGTTGATGTTTATTTTTACATATTCGATTATTTCGGTCTAATTATCATTTTCAATGCAACTTATATATATCATAGATAAGAGAACTAAAAGGTCCCCTTTCCTTTTTCCATATAAATAAAAATTCAACTCCGCTTGCATGTGCTAGTAAGCTCAGCCCTTGTACAATAACCCGTAAATTACACTTAAAATGTAAACCTACGAGCCAGCTGGAAAAAGTAAGCCATATTGTAATGTAATTTACGAAGAAGATAGAGATGCAAGCACTAATTGAAATTGTTGGCATTTTGTTACAATAAAATGCAATTTATCCTAATAATTTATTGCAGTGTGACATGGTACCAAAAGAGTGTCATCCTAGTTCACCTTATTTTGGTCAAATGTAGTCATTTGGTTTGGTTCTTGTAGAGTAATTTCGGCCGAGTTTTAATCAATCAACCACATGCATCTGCCTAGTCTCGGTTTAAATTCATTTATTCATGTGGTGCATAATTGTTTTTGAATTTCTTATATATTTTTTTAATTTCATATTTCACGTGTCAAATTAAGGGAAATTAAAGGCAAATGACGGCCACCTCTCTGATGTAAGATTAATAAATTATGAAAAAAACTCATCTTATTTGAGTAATTACAACCACCCCTGTTCAGTAGGTAAATTTGGGACCGTTAGGGTGTACCATCTAAAATTATAGATAGTTAAATGGTGTGATTTATAATTACTCAATCATAAGGGTATTTTTGTAATTTGATTTTACCTCGGAGGTGACCGTAATATGCCCCGAATGAAATCATAAGTTCGACAAAAGACGACAAAATCAAAGAAAACCTAATTCAGCAACTTTGAGTATTGAGTATTTAAAGATTCATATACCATTATATTATATACATATAAAATGGAAATATTGAAACTTAATTACATTCAATTATCTTCATTCTTTTTTATAATTAAAAAAAGAAAAAGGGAAATAAATAAATTAGTATTTACTATTTAGTAAGGTCTCTTTCAATAAACTCAGCCGTATACATGCCATGGAATATATATATGGATGCTCTGCAACATCTCTTGGGGAATAGAAGTAATTCCATGTGGATACAAACAGCTTTTCTCATCCTCACTCCCAAGACACATTTTCCCTAAATAGAACACATTTTTTTTTATATATATATATATACATAAAAATATAATATATTACATATATATGTATATATATTAATATATAAACAATTAAAAAAAAAAGAAAGATGGCGAACTAGTACTAAATGATCCCATGTGACTCTACAGACCCATCATACAGCAATGGTCCAGGAAAACTACCCCACCCCCAACCCCCTATCCTACCCCCCACCCCCCCCCCCCCCCACCCCACTGGACAACATATGAATTTGGACAACAGACGTTATTACAAGAAAACCCACAAGGCCGATTTTTGAAAGCATAAAAAGGGCCATTTCTCAACCCCATTTGAAACCAAGCTCAAACAATAAATACTATCACTGTTTCTTTCTCTTTTTTTTTTTTTAACTTAGTTTCTGAGTGAGTAGCAACAGATGTATTATTGTAGTGAATCAAGAATGGGTGGATTCACTGTCTTTGTCGGTGGTGCTGCTTTGCGCCGCTGCTTGTTGCCATGCTTTCCCCTTCAGAGATGGTAAGCTAAACATTTTTTTTTTTGCCTTAAAATCCATGTGTAGTTTTTATAAAGAACTGAGTTTCAAGACTGCAAGGTTGTTTTCTTTGCATCTTAGGTTGAGGGGGGAGGGTGGGGGGGTGGGGGGGT